GTCTCGACGCGTCTTCCCGACGTCGTTGAGACGCCGTCAAGGTGTCGTCGGGGTGCCGCCGGGGCGACGTTAGTGTGTCAGGCGACGTCATCTCGTCGTCCGAGCTGCGTGACGTCCTCGAGGCGTCATCCACGGGTCGTCGAGGTGGCGTCGGGACATGGTCGGAGCGTCATCAGGTTGTAGGCACGGCGTCATCAGGGCGTCGCCCGGGTGTTGCGAGGCGCCCTAAAGGTGCTGTCAGCAAGCCGCCGTCGGTGTGAGGTCAGAGCAGTCATCAGGACATCGCCAAGGCAACATCCGGACGTCGGAATGCGCCGTCGAAACGTCGCCGAGGCGTCGTCAGGGCGCCGTCCAGGCGTCATTGCGTCGTCAGGGCGTCTTCGGGCCGGCGTCGCCGAGCGGTGCGCCAGGAGGAAGGCGGCTGAGTCAGGCGGGGTTGGGGCCGACGCGCCACGCGGGCACGCGAGAGGCTCTGTCGTGGGTGTTTTGTGCGCGGGAGCCGCTCAGGCGAGCGACTGGCGGAGCAGGCCACGTGGGAGGCCGGACGCCGCGGGGGAGGACCGCGTGGCGTCGCCCTGCACTGGCGGGACGCCCTTTGAATCATTGAGGACGGCAACTTGAGAAATTATTGTTTTGTCGCTAAGATGTTCAACAATTCTAATTTTTATATGTGTTTCACCGAAAGGAATCGACAGCTATAGCCGTGATCGTGTCGGAAGAATCATTTTCGAGTTGGTTGTAGTCTCTGTAATAGCAGAGGTCAAATCTTTTGTCAGGGCGTTAACGTTGGAAATTGTGGAGAATGTGTACCGCTTGTAATTGCGAAATGCTCACAAAATTTGAGGTGACGTGAAGAATAATTGAGTTTCGTATAAATATATTTCATTCACATTAACATATTTACCAAAAACGTTGTCAGCGGGTTGGCTGTAGCCTCGGAGGTGGAGAGATGTTCTCAATATCTTGGAGGAATTCAATCGCAAGTCGTTTTCTTTCTCTGAAAATTTTATCGAACTCTCCAAATATGTGTTGGCGTGATAGGTTGGTTCAGGGAGGAAAACTTCAGGAATAGAATCAGGGAACTCTATTACATTTTGCACCAAACATAATGTTTAAATGATTACTACATTGTCTACTAAATCTTACGTTTGTAGCGTCAATTATGTAATAAAAACTTAACTAACGTAAGTGAGCAATTCGGAAAATGAAAAAGGCGCCAACATTCCTCATAAAAGAGAGCAATGGCAATTGTTTTTACGACTCCACTAAACCCGCCTCAAAGTCTTTGAAAATCGCTCATCCCAGGTTACTCAGGAGAGATCTAAGAGATGTTTTTTGAGTTTTGAATGAAACATTTTGTACCTATACTTTTTTCTGCAAATTATTACAATGGAATGTCAAATAGTTGGGCAGCAATAAAAAATTGATATCGAGGAGACTTCAGGGTAACAATAAAAGATATTCAAAATTGGATTACCAATCCTGTGAAAGGGAATTTTAAACGTGGGGAGTTGTAAAGAATCCAGAAATTTGGAATCAGAATATTTAAGAAACATCAAAAGGAAAGCCTTTTAAACTTATACTGACAAAATGTCAAATACTATCGTGTAGAAAAACTTATTCAGAATAATGTTATGCTCAAAATTGTTTGAGAAGTACAGAAAACTCGTAGATTTAGCCGTTCCATTAAGAAGGCCAAACACGCGTTCCAAGGTTTTCAAGTAAAGGCATTTGCTCGAGCGGAAAAACTTTTGAACGTAAGAAGACCACAATAAGACACACGAAAAATTTTATTCACTCAGCGTCCAAAACCAACACCAAGAGCAGTTGTACACGGGTGCTGTCTAAGATCTTTTATTTTCTGTTTGCAAATATTTGTTGCTGTGTAAGACGATATGTTTCTAAAGAATTAATTAGTAACATCAACTATATTCGAGCATGCGTTCTGCTTGTGTTGAATGATCAAGTTATATTAATTAGTTCAGTTGAAGTTTGAAAAAGCATGGCCAATACCTACGCATATGGTCAATTTTTTTAAGATCATGCAAAATTATTCCTGTTGTGTTTGGATAAATCATTTCATTATTTAGGATGATTCATAGCCCATTAGGAAACCCCAACAACCAGTGTTAGAGGATCTAGGAGTGTCAATTTTCAGTATTAGAGAATCTGTTGGGGAAAAGGGGGATAAAACCCTGGAATGCGGAAACCACTCCACGGTACAAAAAATTCTCAGGTTGTTAGAATATAAGTTACTTAGTTATTGTTTGTTACCATCCACAAGTAGTCTTACGTACGGACTTTACCAACTTCTACTTCCACTCTCTCTACCCGTTCTCTGCCGTCGTTGCGTAATGCTTTTTGATGCAGAAACTATCGCAATGTATATTTTATTAGAGCGCAAACTAGCGCATTTTCATTATTGTTTCATTTTGTAGGCTATCAAAATTGAAGAATTTACAAGTATATCAGCTTTTCATCAGTAAAGCTAGTTTTCCGTGGTTTCTTCAATCAACTCTTCCCCGCTAGTGGGATATACCTAGTATGGGGAAAACCTAGATAGTCGACGTGTAAGTCGCTGCCAAATCTCACCTGCCACCTCCCAAGGAAAAACGTGTACTACACGGGACTAATCACTTCAGCAGGTGACGCTCCCGGAAACGAAAAAAAATCAACTCGTTGAATTGTGAAAAACTTAATCCCTGAACGCAAGAGATGAACAGGAGAAGGAGGTAGATGATGGACGTATTAAAGTTAAAGGAAGACTCCCAAGATAATGAATAGAGGAGGTAAAAAGAGCTAATTATCAGGAAGGATGTGCTTCAAGTAGCAGGAAAAATGGAAGATGATCTGTCATCTGGTCTAGGATTTTCCACCTTCCTCCCGCGAGAATATGTTGAATGTTCATTTGAATAATTATATTACTGACTGAACTCTATAAAACGTGCAGAGAAGCCATCAGATCTCATCAGATTAACTCTATAGAAGATGCAATGTGAGATTTATCCGTGGGTTTCCAGTGCGAATAGAGAATATAATAATAACGGTTTTATTTTTGGAGAAATGATGCTACGTCATCTTCTTCAACATCCTTTTGGACTTTGTGAGCTTGCTTAGTATTCTCTACTCCCTCCAGTTTATTCGTCAGTAGTGCCATCAATCACTCCTCACCACTTCATTAAATTGTTCAGCTTCAAATCATAGTGACCATTCAAATTAAATCCTTCCCGAGAACCTCACCTGTGCTCTTGGTGTCTTTTGGTCTCTCGAGGACTGAACTGTACTTGCTTTCCTTCGCGGATTCTTGCCATAGTCGTGAAATAAATTTAAGGGCGGCGAGGAACCTGGGCGTGCTCAAGGTCTGGCATGTTCTTTCCGACCAAGATAATTTGAACATCCTGAAGTGCTTCTCTCACGCATTCTGAAGGTGGAGAACAAGTCCGTTGCCATTGTCTGTCTCAAGCGTAGAAGAAGAAGAAGAAGGCATACTTACCCCTTCAAAAAAGGCTTCCGGAAACGCTAGATAATTATATATTTCCCAGACTAAAAGCAAGTGAAATTACTGTGAACATTTTTACGACATGAAGGCAGTCAAGTATGCTTCGTTCAAGTTTTCATATGTTCGTGTTATTACCAACGGAATGAAGAATCATATTATGTAATTCTCTCTCCATTATTTAAAACGCTTCTGTAAAAATTATTAATTTCAATTACTGATTAACCTGTGAACTAGATTTTATTCCCTTTATTGTATTGTGAACACAGCAGCTGAAATTTTAAGTAGAAACTAAAAAACTCCCATGCTTTGAGTTCACTTAGAATTGCTCCCTTGATCGAAACGGTAAATGTGGAATCAACTTTACAACCATTCTGAACCTGTTAGGACGTGCTACCAGTCTCATTAACCAATGTGTTCTGCTCAGATTCCTATACACCGTACAAGTATTTGGAATTATTTCGTAATTTTGTGTGTCATTTATTTTTTTAAAAAGGACGCATCGAAAAGTTGTACAAGGTAAAGTAAGAAGGATGGAAAGGGAACAAATACAAATTATTCGAGCAGCCATCCGGCTGAAGTAGTTCAGGGCGTCAACAGATGTCGCTGTGGTGCCTCTGACCGGGAACACTAACTAAACACAATACTTTTTGTAGTTTTTTAAGCTCACCATGAAAATAATATTATTTAATCACTAAATACGTTTACGTAACACTATTATTTAAAATATATTTCCAAAAATGTTTTCTAGTTTAAACGTATTTTTATTATTTGTTGGAATAAAATAACTCATATAGGTTATTGATACTACTTTTTACATTTTTTGGGAGGGAGGGAAGCTACGTTTCGGCATTGCCCGGGTCCAAAATTGTCTAGCTCCGGCATTGTAGTTAGCTAGAACAGGTTTTTGACGCTGTAAGGAAAATCCTAGCGATCGGCTGCTCAGATCGATAGTTTTACGTGGTTTCTGACATCAACACTTGGCGAATATTGCAGCAGTACCATAGCAATCGGACCACGGATATAAAAGGACTATTTTAGATTATCTAAAATATTTACATAATGAAAATTACTAATTGCAATTTTAATACAACATTTCGACTTGGTGAATCAGATAAATAATATGAGGAATCGGTAAATAATGTAAATAGCTTGTTTTTAACAAATACCTGTGATACTATATGCAAAGAATAAATGGTAACTATGTTTGGTTTCTTTATGGTTTATCTTTGATCGCTAATGTTAGTAAAATGCTCATCCAACTTCGTCGTAAGACAACGCTTTCGGAAAATATTTTGATTTCAAAAGTAGTCTCGCTCCCCAAAGGAAGGAGAGGAATATAATTTAGACTAGAAGAAAATTCTACTTACCGGAGTTTTGTGACACCACGAATACATAGTTCTCATATTATTGTGTAATGTTTTTGCATGTTCTTTTTTTCAAATTCATATAAATATTTCACCTACAAATAAAAATCGGATGTTGTATAGACAAAAATAACGTACATCAAAATAGTAATATAATTATCACAGAATTAGATACAATTTCATCCACTTTTTCCCCATAACTAAATTAATATGAGGTACCGAATTTATGTTTTGTAAATAATTATTGATGACGATGGATTTAGGGGTGACAAGGGTACCGATATTATGATATGATATCCTGCCGTATTCAGCAAATTGTATTACTAAATCTATTTTATAAATTATAATGAGCTATAGTAGTGCAAAATTGTTTATTGATAACTACTCTTTATGTACT